TGTTGGTTTGGGCATGGCGAATAGGAGAGGGAGCAATGCAGGGTGGCGTCATCAGCAAAAGAATGGATTGGTTGACAGTTTTGGAACGGGGATCAATGATGAATTGGAGGAAGAGGGTGAGCACAAGTACTGAACCTTGGGGAACACCAGCGTTCACAGGGAGTGGCTGAGATAGAACCCCATCAACTCTGGCGGAGATGGTTCGCTTACTGAGAAAACTTGATATCCACGCTATGGGCGCAGGAGGAATCCCGAACATGAGTAGTTTCGCCAGTAGACCTTCGTGCCAAACTCGGTCAAAAGCCTTTGAGACATCAAGCGAGACCAAGTGTGTTTCTCTGTGGTTTTCGAGTGAAACTGACCAGGATTGTGAGACAAGAGCCAGCAGGTCACCGAGGGAACGACGCTGTCGGAAGCCACGTTCAAGGAACGTGCGTAGCTGGTCAGAGATGATAGTTTCAAATACTTTCGAAAGAACAGACGTGAGGGGAATGGGTCGGTAATTGTTGGGATTAGAAAGTGCGCCGCGTTTGGGAATGAAAAAAATCACGGCGTGTTTCCAAAGCGTTGGAAAGGAATAAGATTGGAGGGAAAGACTGAAAAGACGATGTAAAATAGGAACCAGCTCGGGAGTACACATTTTGAGGACGATAGGTGAAATACCGTCCGGACCAGGTGCTAATATTATGCGTGTTTTTTTCGTTTGCATCTTTTAGTTTGGCTCGATCTTTGTCGGGGATATGGCTTCAAACGTCAGTCTACGGTGAGTTGAAGCTGTTTCGTTTGCGATATTTTCCTCTAGACCAGTTTATTTCCTGTTGCAGTGAACGAAAATTTCTCTCCCTGTAGATTGGCTCATACCCGGTGCATTTAGGTGGCTTATGTATACTACTACGATCCTGAATTTGTGTCTTCAATACACAACAGACGTCAATTGCCCCAGTGATCATTGTAAGCGCAAGGCGCGCTTGTTGACCCACTTAGATGAAAGTCATCACTTCCAAAGGCCCCCAGGTTCAGAGGCTGACGAGGATTCAGAACTTGCAATTGATTTGATGGTAAACTACTTACCACTATTACTACTATAATTCCAGAAGACGGTACTGATCGAGGATAGGCGTTTATTGAGGATTGCAGATGGGACATCAGTGATTTGGCATACATAACACAGAAAATCTCATCAGAAGCATACCGTCGCAGTTCCTGGTCGCACGACGGGAACATAACAATCGGTCGTTATTCGCTGAGATACAGCAATTTGCCCTCAGTGGTTTTCTTAACTTTTGATAGTCGAAAGTAATCACCAACTATGTTACCTACTGCTCACAACATTACTACTTACTATCTCGCAACGAGCTTTGGAGAGTGATAAACAAGTTGTCTAATGGCATGATACGAGTGAAGGAAGACGGTTGGGTATTAAAGGCAAAGGGTTGAATAAAGATAGGGACATTTGCGCGGTAACCCACTTATCACTACCCATCTCGCACGATGCACTGGGCGGTGCGGTCCTGCGCGACGACTACTACAGTATGGAATTACTTTTAGTTTATTTGGACTGGTTTGTTATTCCGCATTATGCTAACAACATCCACAACATATTTTTGTTTGCTCCGTTAAAGGCTTTTTCATATCGGTTGTCTGTGCTTTTGCATGGTTGAAGGAACCTTCACCGACAGTTGTTACGCTTGATACTTCACTCGTAATTGCTCATTGTCTTTATGAGAGGAGAAGACCATACACCTTTGGTCTGTACGACTTGATAGTTTTCCTCCTACTAAGGAATCACGGGCCCTTTTCTTTGGTATGCAGATTGTCGTACCGTGATTTTTATGACAGACAGTCTGATCTCGCACAAGTGTGAAATATGATCAGTCACCCTCAGCTTCTCGAAAGCGGTTGCTTGCGATGCGTAACGCATGTATCTCATTCATTGGCTAAGCTGCGGTCGAACTAGATTGCAGTTGACTGTTTCGGTCCGGATTGCATATAAATCTTTGCCATGCGGACGAAGAATGTTTTAGGAAACATAGAACTGGTGAACCAAGTCTACAAGTCTAGCTTTGAAACAACTTCCTGATTCAGTTGTAAATGGTGTTAATTCTTTTAACTGGTCTGCAAGGTTCTGAAAATCTGCATCTACTTCGAAACTCTGGGGCTTCTTATCGGGTACAGAAAAATTGAAACCGGGTGATAAAGCTTCCAGTTGCAATCGCTTCAATGTAAATTGCGATAAAATATGGATGGACCCTATGGGTTCTTTTGGAAACTCATCTGTAGTAACTGCCTCTGATAACCATTTTGATGGATCCTTGAGCAACTCACTCCGACATCAGCACTGTAGTTCGCGACTGAAGTTTAATATAATTTGATTCGACACAAGGCTGAAACTATCCAACATGGGATACATTGAGGAAATTTTCTCTCTGAGTTGGTTGAATGTTTCAACAGTATGTTCCAAGTGGAACTTCGTTAAACGCATAAGGTTCCTTCGATTTATTCCGCCGAAGAATTAACACCATGTACAACCAAATCGGGAATTTGGTTAAAAGCTAGACTTGTAGACTTGGCTCACCAGTTTTCTGAAAATGTTTTAGTTGTACAAAAATCATTATTTTTTTAAAATTATTTTTATTACACATCTAAGTGTGGTGAACAACAGACGGGGCGAACCCCATAGTCACGATGACCTGATTTTCAGTGATGGAAACCGGAGCTTTGAGTGGCGAACCACATAAGGCCGCGATAAGTTAGGTGTTGTATTGAACTGGACGACTGCAAAACTACCTGCCACCAAAGTTGGATGGCAGTGGCGGGGCTTGGACCTCGGACCGAAGGGTCCAGAGCACGCCGGTGACAACGACCAAGCCACTGCGCGACCGCCACCCTACTGGGGCATTCAGTGTGTTTCACTTAACTAATTAAAAGAAAGTTATCTGGTCTGTTCTACTCTTAACTAGCTAATTAAACAGGGTGAAATGTTTCAATGTCCTTGCTCGTTTAACGTGGTCCTCGATGATTTGGCTTTCATTCATTTTTTTGTACCATGAACGCCGTTGCACACCGAGTTGTGAAAAACTGAAACTGTTTCCCTTTTTCCCCTTGGTTATTTGTTCCTGACAGACCGTGTGATTCGCTTTTGATCTGCATGTACACAATCACCAAAGACGGTGCTCATTTTTCTACAATCTTGTCCTACTCAAATGCACATTGTGCGACCGATAGTCGAGGCTTTGATACGCTCTCGGGGACTGGGTCCTTGCGCGGTAAGTCATACTTTCCAACTACTGTCTGTCGATTCCAAGTTAGCAATAATCTACAGGGGAAGGACTCGTAAAATCTTTCAAAACCGAAGGTCACATTTCAAAAGGGGGGTTGTCAAGGAACGTTACTAAAACAAAATTGGAGATGAATACGACTAGGAGCACAGGACGAATTGTGAGACCAAAATAACGTATAGGGGAAAAAATAATTAGTTAGCACAACGGGAACCAGCAAGGGATGGTTGTCTTGGGACAATCATTAGTGATTAACTTACCCTGTACACGCATGAAGACAAGAGACTTATGGCCAAACTTGGCCAATTAAGGATCAGGGCAGGGGGTGGAGTTCAAGTTGAAAACGACTGCGAGCAGAATTACGACGAGGATGCACCATTCATACATGTGCGTGAATACACCGCGCGAAAAACTACAGCCACTTGCGTTTATGGCACTTATTCTTTGCCCTGTTTAATAACGCCGTCCCTCCAAATGAGTTGTTGAATGAAAGAATGTTTGGTATATTTCTATTTTCGAATCGATATGCGAATCAAATGAATGGTCATCTACAAGGTTGTTGCAGTGAAAATGGTGTACCCATTCGAGTGAATCAAGGTATTCTGATCTGTGGCCAGCGGGTTATGTAAGTTTGTGTATGGGAGAGTATATCAAATGGAGTCATGGGGATGGTTCACTGATCGAACAGGTCCACTCATGGATTGCATCACGCGTTAGCGAGTGATGTGGACAGCACACACGGATGGGAGCAGAAAGTTCGAAAGTAATGGGACGAATCGGGTCGATCACAAGTAACGTGTTGTGTGCAAAACGGAATGGAATCAACATTAATCATGAAGCACTAGGTGTGCAGTGTCGAGAGATTAAATGTCCAGGATTTTAATATTTCTTCTCTTCATTCACTAAGGTAAAACGATTTTAAACGAATAAGCGTTCGTAATCATGGTAACTGTGCACAAAATCTAATCGAAATCATCATGTACATGAAAAACGAAACGTCTGGTTTGATTATTTCTGCGACCAGTGAACTGGGTTACATAATACAACCAACATTGTTTCACCCGTTATCAGCAGCTCCGGACTACGACACTGCAACGACGACTCGAAAGTTATGTTCAGATTGTGTGTACGTGTGCACAACTCATTAACACAAACGCTCCGCTTACCACGAGCATG